GGACCAAATTAGAAGAGACACACAAACTCATAAACAACACCCTCACTGGAATAAAATTCACCAGAGAGCAGGAGAAGAACAAACAACTCCCTTTCCTGGACGTCATGGTAGAGCGCAAGACAAATGGGGAACTGCAAAAGAAAGTACACCGAAAAGCCACACACAGACCAGGTATTGAACTTCAATAGTAACCATCCCAGCACACACAAACGAAGCTGTGCGCGAACACTATTTAAAAGGGCAACAACACACTGCAGCAACATGGAACTACGCCAAGAGGAGGAGGAATACCTCTTCCAAGTGTTCAAGGATAATGGATATCCAAAGAACTGGGTCAGGAGATGCCTACAAGAACAGCATCAGAAAGATTCTACACGCCCCAACACACTCATCACACTACCCTACATTAGGAACACGTCAGAACTCACCAGAAGACTTCTACGACCGCTGGGCATCAGAGTGGCACACAAACCCACATCAACCCTACGACAAGTGCTCACCCGAACTAAAGACCCACTCCCCGCCATGGACAGGACCAATGTCATCTCCAAGATCCCCTGCAGAGACTGCGAGAAACACTACATCGGACAAACAGGAAGGAAACTAACAACAAGAGTACATGAACTCCAACTGGCTACAAAAAGACACGACCAATACTCACTCATCTCAATCCACATGGACAAGGAGAACCACGACTTCGAAAGGGACAACACCAAGATCCTGGGACAGGCTAGGCAGAGACAAGCACGAGAATTCCTGGAAGCATGGCACTCCACGAAGCATGCTATTTATAAACACATTGAACTCGACCCCATATACATTCCACTACGGAGGAAACCCGGAAGTGAGGCAATCCATCGCAACGGACCCCGGAGTTTAAAAACCAGGCGGGAAAACACACCAACGCTTCATCAGAGGCTGCACTGAGGATGTTACCAAGCACGGTAACGAAACGTCTGCGGAACAACAAACCAGCTCGGCGAGCCAACCAACTTCAACACCCACAACCTGAGTTACAAATCTACACCAAAACCTTAGCATAATTTACAAACTTTGAAATGTGATTCTTTATTCCTTTGTACAAATCATTAATGTTTATGGTGAATAGTTGAGGACCCTATACAAATTCCTGAATCTGGTCATATACGCAAAATTAGGAACAGATCACTTATCCCTACTATTTGTTTTCTGCCTCCCAGTATTTACATGCCATGTTAGAAGATTTCCTCAAACACAATGTGTTGTCATTTTTATTAATAATTTCTGGTGTGGATCCTTGTCAAATACCTTCAGGAACTCCAGTATTGACAACATTCATACACTCCAACATCTTGCATGTTGTTGACCACCTCAAAACAAAATATCAGCTTGCTTAATCAGAGATGATCCAACATTCACAAATCCATGATGGTTCATTGATCAACTGATTCTTGCCCAATATTCTGTCACTCTGTCTCTGGTGATACCTTCAAGTAGCTTTCTCAAATCTGATGTTGAATTCACAGGTCTGCAGTAACCCAATTTTTCTGTCCAACTCTTTGAATAATGGAGTAAAGTTTGCCCATTGCCCAATTTGAAGGCACAATTCTTGAATCTAGAGAGATTGATAAAATTATGACTAATAGTGCTGCAATATCCTCATCTATTTATTTTTCTACCTTGGGCTGAAGTCGTCAGATCCCAGAGATTTGTCCATCTTAAATCCCATTGTTTTTTGCATTTCTTTTGAACTTGTATTACATCCATTAAGTTCTTCCTCTTGACTTATTCCCTCGTTTTCTGGTATTTTGACCTCCTCTTCAACCTTGATTATGGATACAAAGTATTGCTGAAACCGTGTCACACCATTTGAGACTACTACTTTTGGAAGTAACATTAAATGGAGGGGGATTGAGGGGTGGCGTTGACCTGTCCTGGCCCCTCATGTTGTTGTTAAAGCTCCAATAATGTGGTTTGGAGGTAGCTGGAGGATTCTCCTGACCAACACTTAGTCCTCAAACAGTACTAAAGCAGATCTATCTCATTGCCATGAGTGGGACCTTGCTCACAAGTTTTTTAACCAAGAGGGATTTTACTGGAGCATTTGGTTTTGATGCCAAGTAAAAGTTCTCTTTTATACATGAATGTTTGCTGCTGCACAAATGCAACACCTGATCAACCAGAAGTTACAGAATAATAATAGAATAATTAATAGGCTGTAAATGTGAAAGGGATGATACTTTCAGAAATATGATACCACATTTTATATTGCTGTTTGACACTGCAGCACTAATCATTTTGCCTCATTATGTTTTGTTACAGCATCCTCCTTACTGATTCCTTTGCTTAGCTCAACATTACTCTTCCAACGACTGCTAAGCGTTAATCTCTCGTTGATGTCAACCTACCTGTTGCTCAGCACAGGGTATCCTTTTTCTTTATAAATCACATTGCTGCTAATACTCTCTGAGAGAGCGTTAGAATACCAAGCCCGAACACATTGAACCTTTTTGATTTTGGAGGGTAAACTTCTTTCAAGCACAGTCCACCTCTTTGTAAGATATGTGTTATACTTCTCTCCTGGCCTGACATACAAACAGTTGTTTAATCAAAGCTATTTTATATGCCTTGTCTAATTTAAATGCACTTGTATGTAATTGAAGACACTGTATAGCAAATTGTAATGTTGCGGGGCTGTTGCATACAGCAGAGAGTTTTCAATGGTCTTAATGATCTAGTTTCATTTAAAGTGTACAACAAAAATCATACTTTGATATCAGAGTTATGCAATAACTGTGCTTTATAATGTACTAAAATAGGGCACTGGTGAACTCTGCATCAAAACATCAAATTGACAATACCTAACAAAAACGTAATGCCTTGGGCTTCAGGTGAGAGATGTTCACATCTCAGTACACTTTATTTCCTTTTCCCATGACAGAATTTGTGACTTGGCATTCTCTGGTGTGAAAGAGAAAACAGTTGAGTAGTCTGCACAATTGATATAGATAAATAATATTGATTGTGGTCACAGGAGTTGGCTTGAGTGTATGAAAATAGGGAGTTAGCTGAGTTTCGGGTGCTGCATTGACCAGGAAGAAAGTGAAAGGAAGGATTTACGCTATTTTTTTTATTCATTAGTGGTATGTGGACATCGCTGGCCGGCGAACATTTATTGTATGTCCGAAGCTGCACTTGAGAAGGTGCTGGTGTGCTACTGCCTTGAACTGTTACAGTCCACATGCTGTGTGTTGACCCACAATGCCCTCAGGGAGGGAATTTCAGGATTTTGACCCAGGGACCATGAATGAACGGTGATGTACTTCCAAATCAGGATGGTGAGTGGCTTGGAGGGGAGCTTATAGATGGTGATGTTCCCATGTATCTGCTGCCCTGTCCTTCTAGATGGAAGTGGCCGTGGTTTTGGAAGGTGCTGACTGAGGATCTTTGAATTTCTGCAGTACATCTTGTAGATAGTGCACACTGCTGCTACTGGTGGGGTAGTGGATGCCTTTGGATGTGGTGCCAGTCAAGTGGACTGCTTTGTCCTGGATGGTGTCAAGCTTTTGGAGTGTTGTTGTGGGTAGTATTCCATCATACTCCTGATTTTTGCCTTATAGATGGTGGACAGTCTTTGGGGAGTCAGAAGGTGAGTTATTCCTAGCCTCTGAGCTGCTGTTGTAGCCACTGTATTTATGTAGTGAGTCCAGTTGACTTTCTGGTCAATGATAATCCCAAGGATATTGACAGTGGGGGATTTAGTAATGGTAACACCATTGAATATCAAGGGACAGTGGTTAGATTGTCTTTTATTGGAGATGGTCATTGATTGCCATTTGCATGGTACAAATGTTACTTGCCACTTGTCAGCCCAAGCCTGGATATTGCCCAGATCTTGTTGCATTTTAACATTGACTGCTTTAGTATTTCAGGAGTCTTGAATGGTCCTGAACATTGTGTAATCATCAGCAAACATTCCCACTTCTGACTTTGTGATAGAGGGAAAGTCATTGATGAAGCAACTGAAGATGGTCCAATGACCCTTCCCTGAGGAACTCCTGCAATATTGTCCTATGGCTGAGATGACTGACCTCTAACAACAACACCCATCTTCCTACATGCCAAATATAACTCCAACCACTGGAGAGCTGACCCCCTGATGCCCATTGATTCCACTTCTGCTAGGGTTCCTTGATACTGTCCTCAGTCAAATGCAGCCTTGGTATCAAGGGCTGTAAATCTCTTTTGTCCCTATTTGAACTCCGACTGTAACGAGATCAGGATTTGAATGGCCCTGGCAGAACCTAAAGTGGGTGTTGCTGAGCAGGTGCTGCTTGATAGCACTGATGTCACCTTCCATGATTTTACTAATGATCTAGAGTAGACTGATGGGTGATAATTGGCTGGGTTGGATTTGTCCTGGTTTTTGTGTACAGGGCATACCTGAACAATTTTCCACATTGTTGGGTAGATGCCAATGTTGTAACTATATTGAAGAGCTTGACTAGGGACAGAACAAGTTCTGGAGAACAAGCCTTCAGTACAATTGCCGGAATGTTGTTAAGGCCTGTAGCCTCTGCAGTATCCAGTGTCTCCAACTGTTCCTTGGGGTCATGTTGAGTGAATTGAATTGGCTGAAGACTGGTATCTGTGATGCTGGGGACCACTGGAGGTGACCAAGATAGATCATTCACTCGACACGTCAGGCTGAAGATTACTGCGAATGTTTTATCCTGATCTTTTGCACTGATGTTCTGGACTTACTTGCTGCTTTGCAGTTTGGTATGCAAGTAGTCCAGTTTGATAGCTTCACCAGGTTGACTCCGCATTTTCAGGTATGCCTAGTGCTGCATCTGGCATGCCCTCCTGCACCCTTGATTGAACCAAGGTTGATCCCCTGGCTTGATGGTTATGGTTGAGTGCGGGATATGTTGGGCCATGAGATTGCAGGTTGTGTGAGAGTACAATTCTGCTGCTGTTGATTGCCCACAGCACCTCTTGGATAACCAGCCTTGAGTTGCTAGGTTTGTGTGGAGTCATTGTTGTCTATCGCTTCCTTCACTCGGGCAAGGTTCCACTCTCTTTCAAAACTGTTCAGCACAAACCTGCTTGATTGTCCTTTTTGTACAGAGGCTATATTTTCAATGTCCTGTGGGAGTGCTACTTGTATAAAAATTGTAAAGTTCTATTGATGAGCTGACAACAATAAAAACTCCCTTTAGAAATCTATCAAATCAGCCAATTAATTTTAGTTCTTCCCAAAAAAAATTTCAGTGTCATGGCTTATCTAGCTATGTTTTTTTTAATTTCAAATAAAATTTTAATTAAAGTAATTATCTTTTCATAAATGTAATAAAGCAATAAACTGTCTGGCAGCTGGATAAGACCATAGCTGACTGTTAACATCACAGTATGTTGTCGTGTAGATCTACTCATCCTTTTGTTTGATTGGTTAGTAAATCTCATGCACATTTTCAGTTTGTGAAATCATGGATCTCAAAGTTTATTCCTGAGTTTAGCTTGCAGTTTTCAACATGCACTGCAGATTTAACCATGACATAAGGGTAAAAACTGGATGATTGTGAAGTAATTTCAGTTATTTTAGCTTTGCTAATAGTAATTAATTACTTGCCTGACACCAAAACATTTATCAGACCTGCCCAGTTCTGCTTTCACTAGTTACAGATCTCACTCCACATACTATGAGTACTATTCTGATTATAAATCTCGGGGCTCAGACTAGCAATCATATTACAAATTCCACCATAAATAGCAAATTGGGTGAAGAGGAATAAATGACCAAATCTTTGTGGTAAGATAATGCTAAACAGGTTTTATGTTTGTCAGCTTAGCTGCGTTGTTACAATTCTTGTGTCTAACTTGCAAGGTTGTAAATTTGAGTACCATTTGAGTATAAACTAGGTTGGCAACCCAATGCAGTATGTCCTGTATTGCAATGAAACTTACCTGAGTGGTGAGAATTCCTGGTGCTTGTAAAAGAGCAGAAATTTCAAATGCTTTTCAACCAACACCATAGATAAAATATTACGTAGTCAGTCAGTCATTCATTCAATCAATCACAACAGCTAGTTATCACTGTACAGTGCCTTTTAGTGTCGCAAAATTTGCAAAGGTAATGGACAGGAAATAGATAAAAATGTTTTTGGCACCGAGACGCGAAGAGATGTTAGACCCTGTTGACCAAAGTCCTGGGTCAATTTTAGATGTAGTCGGTGGGCGTCGCATTTGCCATTTTCTTTCGAGAAGTGAATTAAGAATTAACTCGGGCATTGAAGTGAACAGCAGTGGGCCTTCCTGAGGATCAAGGATCATGGAGTTGGAAATCCCACTTTCTGAGAGCTGCTGGCCAATCAGAGGCAATGTGCAGTGCTCATTCACTTCACACCATTGGGACGAAACAGTAGAATGAGGCAGTATAGAAATAATACTTACTGCGATAGTTACCAAACCAGTGGTATAGATTTCTTTAAGATAAAATTGCACAAATATCTTGAAGTGAAAGATTTGGTCAGTTACATGCATCAGGATAGCAGGAACTGGGAAGATACCCTGCCATTATTCTTGTGTCCAACTCACATGGCTGTTGGTTTGAATGCTGTTAGAAGCATAAACTTTGATTTAGAGATAACAAGGTGTAGAGCTGGATGAACACAGTAGGCCAAGCAGCATCAGAGGAGCAGGAAAGCTGACGTTTCGGGTCTAGACCCTTCTTCAGAAACTTTGATACCGGGTCACTGCACCCTTTACACTGCCTGTGTACTTGCTAGTGTCTTTTGAAAGCATGCATGCAAAGCAGCAGTGATTAGCTGTCCTCCGTCTCTTCCACCCAATTTCAATGCAGAGGCCTTAATCCTGAGTTGCAGATTTGGTGGATTTATTAAACTAACTCATGTCCAGAAACCTGAGCAGTATAGTGCAGGTTGGATCAGGCATAGCACACTATGGGCTCATGCCAATTAACTTTTTCAATCCTGGAAATTCCAGGCCAATCCTCTGGGGTTATCATCTTGTCTTGTCTTGTCTCAGTTGAGCAGTGAGGAATATCAGTCCTAACTGGTTTCTTGTAGTTATGGTATGTTTATAAATTTCTGTGCCTGAGTAATTGATTTCAGTGACATATATATACATATGTAACTAAATCAACATGCAGCACTTGTTTAATCAAAACATTCTGCCGAGCTGTTCGTTCAACTTCATATATGTTTGATATTAGATGCGTCTTGCAAATTAGTGTTATTTTATTTGTTGCAGATTGATAAATAATAACCTGGCCCAAATTTCACTATTTGGTATTGTGGAATATTGAAAAAAATTATTCTTAATGGTTCAGTCTTTAACATCTTGGTGTTTCATTCAGATATGAGGCTTTATTTCCTCTAGTGCTGGCCTGCTTGATGTTTATTTGGATCAATCTGGAGCAAGAGACAATCCAGTTTCACAACACCTTTCCTGCCCCAAAGGTAATGAGAAACCTATTGTTTTGAAATTGGCAGTTTACTAAACATTGGTTACAATGTCATATTGCATGTTTGTCCTTGCAAAAGCAGAATTGCATTGTCTAAACAAATCCATGGAGTGAAATGGGTTATTTGTGTTATTCCAAAAATACAAATCAGCATTATAGGTATTTGGCACTAAATAATCTTGTGACAATACCGTTATCACAATATGAACATTTCCAGTTGCTGAACTAGCTGTGATAGCCACTGTTTTGTATTCAGTGAGCACGTTGGCTTAGCAGTGCACTCCTAAATGCTTCCTTAGCCCCACTGAGAATCAGCCATCACAAATGGAGCTTCAACGGTTGCAGAAACATCAGTGACAGTACTCAGTGGGATGGCGGGATACATGACAGTACCTCCTTGTGTTGTCTCATTCTCACTTTCTAAGTCAGTCTGCAGCTTGACCAGAAATTATGAGGCATATGTGGGGAGGTGTGATGCGTTTTCAAGTCTGTCACTGAACTGATTTCCTGACCTCTGCTGCTCTCCCATGGGGAGGCACTGAATGAAGGCCAGATGCTCTCTCTGTAGGGAAGCTGAGCAAACAATGTGGAAAGTTACTCTTGTACAACTTCGAGCAGACTTTTAATAGCATTGGCAGTGCTTCAGAAGAGTCATAACCCCAGCAGTAAGGGCTTGGGATGCAAACTGGTGATAAGAATGCTTGCTGTTGTCTAACAACAAAGTTTAAAAAAACAAAGACTGTTGAGGAAAGGGTCATGAATAAAGTACACTCGCCATTCAAGAACACAACTTTCAATCCACCAGACCACTTGTATGTTCCCGGGATTTCAACAGTTAGAAGCATGGAAGTAATATCTATTAATAGATTTAACAAATTTGTGTTCTTTGCACAAAGCTCACTGCCACGGGAGCCTATATTGTGAATTCAGAAGAGAGATGAGGGCTCACTGCGCGATGTTTCATCTAATTAAAATTCATTCATGGTGACCTCTGCAATCGAATTCCTGATCACCGTCCTTTCAAGTGAAAATTGCCTGCAGCATCAATTGATAAAAATCTACCCTGTAGGATTAAAAAAAAGGCAAAAATTGTAAAGTAGTTTCGAAATTAAATATGAAATCAATTCTAAAGTAAAACAAACCAGTAGTTATAAGATCATTTCTGGCAAGCAAAGTGCTGTGTTGATTTCTGTTCAGTCACTGCCAAAGGACAGAGGAGAGTTACTAAAAGTACTGCAAATGTATATGTATTCAACTTAATGATATGGCATTATTCAACAGCGAGTCATCGCTCCTCTCTATCCATTAATTTACGAAAAATCTTGGCAACTAACTCACTTGCCTAATTCATTCCAAAGTACTGTGTAGTTAAGTGACAGAATCTGTCACATATGGTTTAACGTCTTGCGTTATTTTGGATATGAAATGGGGGGTGACTGCCAGAATTGCTTTTTCAGACCTTGACAACATGTCAGACATGTCCTCTCACTGTCTGTACTTTGCAGCCCCATCCCTTCCTGTGTGGGTCTGTTGTCTGAGCATGACGCTGAAGACTAGCTCAGACACTGAAGTCACTATGACAGAAAGAAAACCAAAATATGCTTTGGTGCCATTACCAATCAGCTGTAGTACGTCACTCTAAAAACTGTACAGTGCCTTGACCAGGCTGTACTTCATGTGTTGTGGCCTGCTCCAGTCATCAAGAATTATGCCAAACTTCCAAGGAATGAAGCGTGTGTAGAGTGGAACCATGAGGTGTCAAGCATTAATGTCAGCAGAAAAGACTTCTTGTGTTGGAAAAGAAGGAAACCTGAGGGGAACATATAACACTTAACTCAGTAGTTAAGGTTAAACTAGAACACCATTTCAAGGTGTGCCAGAATAAAAGTGATCCAATTTATACTCAAGTGAGTGGGTATTTAGGAAGATGTCAGTGTGAACTTCTTCACATACACCGTGATCAACATTCAGAACAGTCTACGTTGAGAGCATCAAGGTTAAAACTGTTAACAGACAGACAATTCAATCCACTGGTTGAGAGGAAAGTAACTTATTATTCACTCTGGAGAGAGGATATAAGATGGGCTGAATGGATCTCTTTATTTGTTTGACCGTGATTTGTTTCACATATCCCTTATCAATTATCACAACTTTAACATTTCTGAATAAAAACCAAAAGAAATGCGGATGCTGTGAATCAGAAACAAAAACAGAAATTGCTGGAAAAGCTCAGCAGGTCTGGTAGCATCTGTGAAGAGAAATCAGAGTTAATGTTTTGGGTCCGTTGACCTTTCCACAGAACTGAGCATTCTGAGGAAGGGTCATTGGTGCCGAAATGTTAACTCTGATTTCTCTTCATAGAAGCTGCCAGAGCTGCTGAGCTTTTCCAGCAATTTCTGTTTTTGTTTCCTTTTTTTTATATTGATTATGCACATTATCTCCTGGTAAAACGTTTACACAGTGATTGACATACAGTTCCATTCATGCCAATTCCTCCTATGACCAAGGTTTCTTTCCATTCCAGCAGTTATCCCTGATAGATTTTGCTCAGAGAGTTGACGGAGCACTGATTCGACACCTCGAGCTAGATGACGTAAGACGATCATATTTCTTTGTATCCTTCTGCATTTAATTTCTCTTTTTAGGTTTGTGATTATATTTTAAGGTATTTGTATCTAATTAATTTCAAGATTCTGAGATTAAAAGCAATTTTGAAGTCAAATAGCTGAATGTCCTAGATTGACCAATTACATTTATAAACATCTGTATACTTGGAAACAATGTAGACGTTCCAATCTCATTATAAAACATTAAGCAGCTGACATTCCAAGGGCTGCAGCTGAGGCTTGAACTGTCATTGAGGCTTGAATTTAGGGCAGAACTGCCAGATTCTTAAGTGTAGCACAAATTCTATTGGGAGAGGTATTTGTGCTTTAGTTTGCCCACTAACCTTATGAGGCACCTTATCAAAAACCTTGTGAAAAACTAAATATTCTATATCCCCTGGTTCTCCCTTATCTATTCTACTGGTTACATCTTCAAAAAACCTCAGTAGATTTGTTAAACATATTTTGCCTTTCATAAACCCATGTAGGCTTTGTCCAATTATGTTAATCTTTCCAAATGCTCCGTTATCATTTCTTTTATCATAGATTCTAGTATATTTCTCACTACTGACGAATTGAAGAATTTTACATCCTGGATCTACTCTTAGAAGTAGGTTACGAAAATGTTTATCAAATCAAAACATTTCATCAGATATAGGTAATACAGGCACCTCATTAAACCATAATGGAAATTACTTGCTGACTTTGAACCACTTTAATTTGAACTCCAACATGCATTTAAATTGATCCAAAATTTTGAAAAGTATCATTGACTTGCAGTATTTTGTTTTTGATTTTAAAAAAAAAATAAGGGGAGGTGATAGTTTTGTAGTAATGTAAGTGGACTAGTAAGTCAGAATCCCAGACAAATGTGCTTCTGGGCTAAAAATGCTGATCTAGTTAGCGATACTCATATTCCATGAACAAGTTTTAAAAAAAAAAAAAAAAATTCTTAGGCTAATAGCTAATTAAAGTATTGTGTAATTCAAGTACAATGTGGATTGCTTAAAATTGATTTATATTTTTGAAGTCTTGACTTTTCTTATCTTGGAAATATAAGATTTTCTTCATTGTGACCGCTTTCTTTGGAACTGGAAATATAGCTTCTATCAACAGGTAAGAAGAATGTTAACTATTTCATATAGTTCCTGCCTTATGCGCAGAAAAGAGATGTTTTAAATGTTATAGGTTATAATCATTGTATGCTTGCATTGAATTCTCTTGATTGACATAGTTGCACACATTCTGTCCTTCTGATGTAGCACTAAATATTCAGAGTATGTTTTTAGATTATATGAAGAAATGATTGAATGCATATGAAAAAGGGATTCTGTTCAAAAGTCTTGCTGAGCATTTTCTGGAAGGTGTGCTTCAATGAATAATCAATTTGCAAATAAATACATCTTTGCCTATTACTTTACCCATTATTATCTTATTGCAGTTTTGATCCTGCATCAGTCTACTGCTTCTTGACTGTTTTTAATCCTTTCGTAATGGGAGCATTAATGATGTGGAAGGTCAGTATATGTAGCCTAATGTACAGAAAACCTGTGTTTTCATGGGTTATTAAAGGTCACATTCATTTCTTTTCCTGACAAGATAATTCCAGATAAGGTAGTTCATTCAACTCGTTTCTTTCATTCAACCAGAAATGCCCTACAATCGCAACTATTGTAGCATCCACTTGTTTCTGAAATTATTCTGAGATTTTCCCACCTGCTAGGAATCCATTTCATAATTTCAAAACTCCATGCATGAAAAGAACTTTCAGATATTAGCTTTGCTTTATCTGAAGTCCACATTTTCTCTTTACTTTGGTGGTTTGGGATTAAAGGAGAAGAACTAGTCTGTACTAAGTACATAAGAACTAGGAGCAGGAGTAGGCCATCTGGCCCCTCAAGCCTGCCCCGCCATTTAATAAGATCATGGCTGATCTTTTTGAGACTCAGCTTCACTTACCCGCCCGCTCACCATAACCCTTAATTACTTTACTGTTCAAAAATTTATCTAGCCTTGCCTTAAAAACATTCAACGAGGTAGCTTCAACTACTTCACTGAGCAGGGAATTCCACAGATTCTTCACCCAAAGGGTTGTGAAGTTCCTCCTGACCTCAGTCCTACATCTGCTTCCCTTTATTTTGAGGTGATGCCCTCTAGTCCTAGTTTTACCTGCTAGCAGAAACAACCTCCCTGTCTCCACCTTATCTATTCCCGTCATAATCTTATATGTTTCTATAAGATCTCCCCTCATTCTTCTGAATTCCAATGAGTATAATCCCAGTCTACTCAGTCTCTCCTCATAATCTAACCCTCAACTCTGGCATCAACCGAGTGAATCTCCTCTGCACCCCCTCCAGTGCTAGGATATCTCTTCTCAAGTAAGGGGACCAAAACTGCACACAGTACTCCAGGTGTGGCCTCACCAGGACGCTATACAGCTGCGGCATAGCCTCCCTGTTTTTAAACTCCATCCCTCGAGCAATGGCAGACAAAATTCCATTTGCCTTTTTAATTACCTGCTGCACCTGCAATCCAACTTTTAGCGATTCATGCACAAGGGCACCCAAGTCCCTCTGCACAGCAGCGTGCTGCAGTTTTTTTACCATTTAAAACATAGTCCATTTTGCTGTTATTCCTACCAAAATGGATGACCTCACACTTATCAACATTGTACTCCATCTGCCAGACCTTTGCCCACTCACTTAGACTATCTATATCCCTCTGCAGACTTTCAGTGTCTTCTGCACACTTTGCTCTACCACTCACCTTCGTGTCATCTGCAAATTTTGACACACCACACTTAGTCCCCAACTCCAAATCATCTATGTAAATTGTAAACAATTGCGGTCCCAACACTGATCCCTGAGGCACACCACTAGCTACTGACCGCCAACCAGAAAAACACCCATTTACCCCTACTCTTTGCTTTCTACTGGTCAACCAATCCTCCTATCCATGCCAATTAATTACCTGTAATACTGTGCAACTTTATCTTATGTAGCAGCCTTTGGTGTGGCATCTTGTCAGATGCCTTCTGGAAATCCAGATACACCACATCCACAGGTTCCTCATTGTCCACCAATTTCCTATTTCTACTTTTGAGCCAGTTTCTTCCTGTCCTACTTAAGTTTGAGATAATTTTCTGGATTACGCCCTTCTATACCACAGGGTACTACACACATTGGTTATATTATGGACGGTAATCTAGAGGTTCTGAATAATGGTCAGTGGGCAATGAGTTTAAATCTCACCATGCTATTGGACAATTTTAGATTCAGTTAAATAAATCTGGAATAGAAAGCTTGTGTCAGTAATAGTCGTAATTAATAATAGCAGTAATCACTAATAATGAGAAGAAATAACCAGAAACTACTGAATTGTTAAAAACACACCCGGTTCACTAACTTTAATGGCAACATAACTGTTCTGACTCCAGACCCTCAGCAATATGTTTCATCTTATACTGTCCTGTGAAATGGCCCAGGAAGCCATGCAGTTGTACCTGAGAAGACGATGTGCCACTGCCTTCTCCATGGGGCATTAGGAATATACAATAAATGCTAGCCTAACCAGCTTTGCCCATATCCTGAAAATAATATTTTTCGAAAATTGATTATCTTGCACATCCTTATTAGATCACTTTTCTTAATTCCCAGGCTTAAATGCATAATTTTTATAGTTCTTCAGAACCTCTTCATAGTATCAGAACATCCATATAAATCCAACCCCAGGGTCATAATATTAGTTACCACTGCTGTTGGCAAGTTATATTCGAGTCTACATACTCTGCTGCCATTTCTGTGCCGAGTTTTGGACCTGTCTAATTATCTGTGATAAAGCATGCCCTGCTGAGGAGTCTAAGCAGAAATAGATCTAGTTTTGCATCACAAGGTAGTTTATTGCATAATGGCATTAGGTACAGTTTACTTCACCAGCCTAGCATAATTACTGAGGACTCTAGGGAACTGTACAAAAAACATCTGCTCCCCACAAAGGTGAGTGTTGAACTCAACTCTATGTACCCAAATTGGGTGAAGCGTAATGTAACAGGAACATTAACTCCTTCAGAATCATATACAGCATCGTACTTAACTCTGGCCACTTAATATTTAAAAAAATAAAGTTAGGAGCTGGCAATTTACTGAAGTTAGAATTTGGATACTGTCTAGCCTGAGCTGTGCTGTTCAATCTAGGTACAACTGCTCTGCTGAAATCATCCAAATTTTGATCATGTGCTTTTTTTTTAAATGCATCAATTTGAGCTTAATTTTTTTTTTGTAATTGATTTTTTATATAAGCAGTGCATCTATGGCAATATGCTTGCTGCTCCTCATGGAATTACTGTGGACTTATTGGCAATCTTATGTTTTCTTAACATTTCTGGCTACTCAGTACTCCATTTTAGATAGCTTTTTGTTTTTGAATTAAGCTATTAGCAATCAATGTTTCCACTTTTGCTAAACAGCTGAGCTGCCCCTTTAGGAACTGGGTGACTCAGTGTCCATCAGCAGCAAGCAGTGTACTGTCAGTGATCAAAATCTGTCACTGATTTCATCTATCAAATCCAGAGAGACGTTCAGTTTCTGTGTCAGGACTCCAGAGTTTATCGCTAATTGCTCAGGACAGCATAGCTTCAATGATTCAAGATTTCTTTTGAAAAATGCTCACTTTTTGTTTCATCAATTGCTGTCACAGATGTGAAGAATAAATACTAAAATGAGTAAAAATTTCATTATTTATTTTGATGTGCATAATTATTATCATTTTATAGTGGGAAGGTTCTCAAATAAGTATAGAATTGATTACTAAATCACTGAGGTATCTTTTATTGGTAACAGTTTCTTTCTGGGATTAGGTTGCTAGGTAGTTAGATGTTGGTCTTGTACCCCTTATACCTGTGTTCAAACCCAGAGCCTGCACAAGACGTCACTACACTTTTTAAAATCTAAATTGACACAGCAAGTGCATCTTTCGTTTATGATGTTCATTCTCTGTCTGTCTTCAGTGAAAATGCCCTATTTTGGGTCTTAAAAAATCTGTTCTAAATAGAAAGTTCTAGATGTCAGGCAGCCTCTTGCACAAAGGAAGGTGGTTTGGTTGTTGCTAGGTTTCAAATTCTGCATTAACTGTGTAAGATCATTATCTTCTGTCAAAAGCTAAGAATATTCCCCTGGTTACATATGAACTTGGAGAAGGAATAGACCATTTGGCCCCTCATTTGATAGATCACAATCAGATCAGTCATGATCTTAAGCTCCACTTGCCTGGCTACCACCAATATCTTTTGACTTCCTTGTCAGTCAAGAATCTGTCTAACACAGCCTTGATTATATTTAATGTACCAGCCTTCTCTACTCCCAGAGTAGAGAATGCCACTGGCTAATTGCCCTCTAAGAGAAAAAAAATCTCCCCTTCTCTATCTTAAACCCCATATTTTTAAACTATGTCCCTTATTTCTAGTCTTTCCTGTAAGAGGAAACTTCTCAGCATTTACTGTGCGAAGTCCTTTCAGGATATTATGTGATATCACCTCTTTTTCTCTTTTGAATTCCAGCAGATCCAATTTATCCAAACTTTCCTCCTTTATAAGATCACCACATCATCCCAGGAATCAATCAAGTAGACCTTCTTGGTACTGCTTCCAGTGTAACTACATTCTTAAATAAGGAGTCCAAAACTGTAAACAGTGTCTCACCAATGCTGTGTATAATTGTAGCAACATTTCATTTTCCTTGCAACAAATGACAATATTCCGTTTGCTTCTGTTGTACATGAATATCAGCGTTTTGTGATAAATGTACCAGGGCACCCGGATCTTTCGCTACCACAGTTTCACAATTTTGCTCCATTTAAATAACATGTGTTTCTCTGTTTCTCTTGCCAAAGTTGATGAATTCATATTTTCTGGTGTAATACCGTATTTGCCAATGGTTTGTCCACTCATTCAGCCTATCGAAATCCTTTTTTAGATTCTTTATGTCCTCACAATTTACTTCCCTTGCTGCCTTTGATTTCTGCTCCAAATTGTGTAAAGAAAGAGCCTCTTGCTTTATATAGCATTTTTCATGACCCAGTCCACTTTTGCAGCTAATGAAGTAATTTTGACTTGTGAATTTTGTGCTGTAACATAGTTGTAACAGAGGAAACATGCTTGCAGACAGCAAACTCCCAAAACAGCAATGTGCTTTTGATTGATCTGTTTTAGTGGCGTTGGTTAAAGAATAAGGCTGGGACATTGAATATAATCAAGGCTATGTTAGACAGATTATCAACTGACAAGGAAGTCAAAAGGTATTGGCCAGCACACCAGCAAGAGCTCCTCTACCATTGGTTGAATGGTGTTATCGGATCTTCTACATTTGCTGAGCGGGAAGACAGGGTCTTGGTTTAATATCTTATTTGAAAGACAACTTGGTAGCACCCCATACTACTACAGTGAAATTCCAATATAGATTTTGTGCTCGGGGCTCTGGTAAAACTTTTATACACCACCGCACTTTGAGGGCAGGAAGGACACACAAGCTAACACTGATTGTTAGCCTAATACTATTAATCTGACTTGATAGAAACAAAACACTGGGGACCCATAAAAGACCTATTGTACCTCAATGTGGTGTTGACAATGACGCATGATTGACAAAGTTGATATTCAAACAAAACTCTCTTGTTGATACTAAGCATTGTCCCGTCCCAATGCTGAGATTTCTGCCATTTAATTAGGAAACTGTGCAAATTCTGTTGGGTACCTGCTAACACAGTACTGTTGCTTCTCAGTGACTGCTAATAAAGACGTGAATGTGGCAATATGATGTGGTCAGATAATGCAGAAAAGATCAGTTTTATCTGCGGTAATGTCATTGGATGAGTAATCTACAGGCCAAGGCTAATGCTCTGAGGACACTGGTTCAACTCCCACCAGCTGGTGAGATTTAAATTCAGTTACTCAGTCTGGAATTGAAAGCTTGCCTCTGTAATGATGACCATAAAACCATCATTGATTGTTCTAAAAACCCATCTGGTTCACTAATGCCCTTTGGGAAGGAAATTTGCTATCCTTATCCAGACTGGCCTACATGTGTCTCTAGACCCACAGCAATGTGGTTGCCTCTTAACTGGCTTCTGAAATGTCCCAACAAGCCACTCAGTTAATGGATAACTAGAGCTGGGCAACAAATGCTTGTTTGCTAGTCATGAAACATTACATGAAAGAATAAAGGAATAAAACCTTGATGTTGCTGTTGGGTAAACAGTTTTGGTTGATTTACTCATTTGATATAATTTGAAGAATTTTGACCATTACACCTAAAGTTTTATAATTCATCTGTTACTTATCCTGATGTGAAGGTTTTCACTATGGTGTAGAATACGAATCAAACACAATGCCTTAATGCTTTTGCAGATACTAATTCCTTTTGTTATCGTAATGTGTGCATTCGAAAGTATTCAAGTTTCAACTCATTTGTCCTCAAACAGGTACACCAAATTAAAATTATTATCTTATTCAAGTTTTATTTTCAGATACTTGTTGAAACATTGCTGCTATACTTTACCAGTGAATGTTTCTTTAAGATGCTTTCTCATGTCTTTTCCAATAGTTTATTTCTCATTGTGCTGGTCATCTCCGACATCATGGCTTTGGTGAGTCACTGATGATACTGAAACTTACTTTAAGGTTGAAGTTATGTCATTACGTACCGGGATTGAAAATCTGCTCAGTGCTGCTCCACTTCTAGTTAGGCTGGGGAGCAATAATGGCTGGAATTTTTACTGTAGGGACAACTTTCAAAGACGTTGGACCTAAAAGTTGTGCCCAATCCCAAGCTAATTGCTAATTCTCCTGATACAAAGTTACAGTTTAGTTTACTGTAAAATGTGTGAAAATACAGGCAACTGGAAATCAGTGTCAACAATCGAGGCATAAGAAAAGCATGTACTCAAACTGTAAATGTCTTCATTGAGTATGAAATCAACATTCCTGCCATCAGACACAACACATTGAAAATCCAGCAACTGGGGAAGATTTTCACTTTATAACGTGATTTGTATTGATGTCATAAAAATGCTTTCACTGAAACAGAGAGTTGATCTCAGTGAGGATTTTTTTTAAAAGAAAAGCTCAAACCTAACAAAACACCAATAAAGTGAATTTGTTTCCTGCTACACCTGAAAATTTGGTTGTAATTTGCAGGAAGTCTTTGAGCAAACAGCAAACAATGGATGCAATTAAATGAAAACTTTCAGGATGTTGGATATCATAGAATCATAGAATCCCTACAGTGTGGAAACAGGCCATTCAGCCCAACAAGTCCACACCAACTCTCCGATCAGCATCCCACCCAGACTCACCCACCTACCGTATCCCTGCAACCCTGCATTTCCCACGGCTAATCCACCTAACCTATGCATCCCTAGATACTATAGGCAATTTAACATGGCTAATCCACCTAACCTGCACATCTTTGAAATGTGGGAGGAAACTGGAATACCTAGAGGAAACCCATGCAGACATAGGGAGAATGTGCAAACTCCACAGACAGTTGTCCAAGGCCAGAATTGAACCTGTGTCCCTGGCGCTATGAAGCAGCAGTGCTGAAATAAAAACAGAAAATGCTGCAAAAAAAAAAGCAAGTCTGTCAACACCTATAGAGAGAAACATAGAGTTAACATTTCGTGTCTAACATGACCCTGCTTCACAACTGTGCACAGTATACAATTCTTAACATGGGATTGTGGCTAGGCTAGCGTTAAAAGCAGAGGCATTGATGGTTAATCATCATGGGCCAAGGAAATTTGGGAGCATTATGTGTGTGCCTTAACTCACTCATGCTCATAGTTCTGCAATCTTTTAGGAATTTGACTTGTATCCCGATTGGCCATGTACCTGGACAAAGCTATCCAGGAAATCCAGGTTACCGTTTTCTTAACTTGTAATGGCAGGAATCTTATTAAGACAATATTCTTTTCAGTTAATAAAAAATAAAATGTAGGTTACCTTTTTGCAATAGATGGTGATGTGTTAATCTATAAATTTATTATCATAGCATTTCTTCTTCCTGGTTAAAGACTATGGAAGCTGGCTGGACATTGGAACAAGGTATTTAAATCATCTGTATTTATCAATCTATCTTCTTCCTCAAAGCATAGTGGAAACTGAGTCTTAGATTTTTTTTAAGACAGTGATAGATAAACATTTGATGAGCAAATGGGTGAAAGATTATCAGGGATGGGTGGAAATGTGAAGTAATCTGATTGAGTATGCTGTTAATGAATGGTGGAATAGGCTCAAGGGGCTGAGCGGCATACTCATAATTCATACATTTGTATTGGGTTTGGGGTTTTTTGATGGTTTTATTCATCGTGTACATATTTATTTGTGTGCGTTAATATGAATGTTGACATATCTGTAAATATGTACATGGAAACAATATATGAATTAATATGTATTTGCACACATATGTTAAGACAAAACTGTTTGTGAGATACTTATTGTCAAATCTTTCAGAGTGAAGGAGTAATTTAATTTCACCTCTCGATTCCCATCCACAATCCTTGCCACCACAATATTCCACTTTGGTAATGTAAGCATAGGAAAAAAGTCTGCAATACTGAGAATTTAACTTCACGGTAGTCAGTTTCATCTGTCAGAGCCTGGTTGTTAGTGAAATTTAGCGTGTTGCTTAAATGAGTCCTAACCATGCCTACATTAATTGCTGACAATGCATTGGTGTAAATGGAGTCATGTCAGTAGCACTGAAGATGAATGGATTGACATTTTTTTGGATTTCATGCCAATCTCCATATGAATTGGCATAAGTTGATTCTAATAAATTATTCAACCTCTCTGAAAGAGGCAAACCTTGCTTTTCTAGAGTTATCACTAAAAATAGCTACAATTTTGTGCTAATTAGCATGGTGTTCTTTTTCATTACTGCTTTTATTGTAATTGCTATGCCTAATATATTCTAGATAAGTAGGCATCTGGAAAGGTGCCCCACAAAAGATTAAGTCGTAAGAGCCCATTGTGTTGGTGGTAATATATTGGCATCGATAGAGAGTTGGTTAATGTGCAAGAAACAGTGACTGGGGACAAACGGCTACATTTCAGATTGGCAGCCTATAACCAGTAGGCAACTGTTTACGATATATATTAATGACTTAGAAGAAGGAAGTGCATGTACTGTAGTCAGACTGGCACACAACACTAAAATAGGTGGGAAGGCAAGTTGTAAGAGGGATACAAACATTTTATAAAGAGATATTGATAGGTTAAGTAAGTGGGCAAAAAGTTGGCAAATGGGAGAATGTGAAGTTGTTTATTTTGGAAGGGAGAACAAAAGAGCAATGTTATTGAAATGGAGAAAAACTGCAGAAAATTGCATACAAAGAGAGTTGGGGGTACTTGTGTATGAAGCACAGAAAGCTAGCACATGAGTGCAGCAGGTAATCAGGAAGGCTAATGGAATATTGGCCTTTATTCCAAGGGCTTTGGAGTATAAGAGTAGGGAAGTCTTACTGCAAGTGTACAAGGTGCTGGTGAGTCCACTCCTGGAGTACTGTATGCAGTTTGGGTCCCCTTATTTAAGGAAAGATATCATTTCATTGGAGGCAGTTTAGAGAAGATTCACTAGGATGATCCCTGATATGGAGGGATTGTCTTATGAGCAAAGACTAAACTGGTTGGGACTCTACTCACTGAAGTTTAGCAGAATGAGAGGTGACGTCATTGAAACATATAGGATTCCTAAGGGGCTTGACAGGATAAATGAGAGGATTCACGGGACAGTCTAAGACCAGAGGGCATAGTCTCAGAATAAAGGAGCACCAATTTAAGATTGAGATGAGGTGAAATTTTTGGATTTTTTTCTGAGGTTTGAGTGTCTTTGGAACTCCTTCGCATTAAGAAGATAGAGTCTTTTGTGTATATTTAAGGCTGAGATAGCTGTATCAACACCATAGCTCTAAAGTAGATTAAGGGCCACAACTCAACTGAAGGGTTTAATTAACTGAGAAATTCTAAAAATAGAAACTGAACATATCTCATTAATTCAAATCAGTAAAATGTTTTGAGCAATTACTGAAGTTTGCAAACATTGTGACAAACACTCTTGATCAGTAGGGGAACCAGAGGTAAAAGGGAAAGGCAGGAAAATGGACATGAGGAATGCCAGATCAGCCTTGAGTCATGGAGGCATACAGCATGGAAACAGACCCTTCAGTCCAACTCATCCATGTGGACCAAGTTTCCCAAACTAAACCATTCCCGTTTGCCTGCATTTAGACCATATCCCTCTAAACTTTTCCTATTCATCTACTTATCCAAATGCCTTTGAAAAGTTGTAACTGTACCTGTATCTACCACTTCGTCTGGCAATTCATTCCACATACGAACCACCTTCTGCGTGAAAAAGTTGCCCTTCGGTTTCCTTTTAAATCTTTCCCCACTCACCTTAAAATTATGCCCTCTAGTTTTGAACTCCCGTACCCTAAGGATAAGATCTTCGCTATTCACCTTATCTATGCCCTTCATGATTTATAAACTTCTAAGGTCACCCCTCAACCTACTAGACTCCAGTGAAAAAAGTCCTATCTTATTCAGCCTGTTATAACTCAAACTCTCCAATCCCTGTAATATCCTTGTAAATCTTTTTTGTACACTCTCCAATTTGATAAAACCTTGCAATCGCAGGGTGAGCAGTACTGTACATAGTACTCTGAAAATGCCCTCACCAGTGTTCTGTACAACCACAATGTGACGTCCCAACTCCTACACTCAGTGGTCTGAGCAGTGGAGGCTAGCTCACTAAACGCCTTCATTACCAGTCTATCTGTGATGGAACTGATCCTTTTGAATGGTGGAGCAGGCTCAAGGCTGAATGGCCTACTCCTGTTCTTATGTCTTATGATCTTATAAGGTCATTAAACATAAGAGCAGAAGTAGGCATTTGGTCCATCTGATCTGCCATTCAACAAGATCATTGTTAATAATCCTTTAACTCTACTTTTCGCCTTATCCCATTACCACTTTAGATATTACAGAAGGCATCAAAAGTCCTTACCACTGTAAATGAAGCACTCATTCAGTTGACTAAGTATAAAACTTTTTTATCCTTTGCGATGTCTTAGAGCCTCAGCTTGGTTACAATGTTTGCAAACTTTACTAATTGCTCAAAACATGTTACTCATCTGAATTAGAGAGATTTTCAGTTTCTATTTTTAGAATATCCCAGTTAATTAAACCCTTCAGTTGCATTGTGGCCCATTATCTACCTTTAAGCTATGGTGTTGATACATCCAGCTAGCACAGTAACAACACTTCAATCAGAAGGATTTAATTAGTCAGAAAAGTAACAGCCTGTGGTTGAAACAGTGCTACTTGTCCTCTTCCCCCTTGCTCCATAGTCATGATTTAACTCCCTTCTTTCATATTTGCCTCTGTCTCTGATTTAAACCTACTCCACCAAAGCCCACTGTCACTCTCCACTGTTGTTAATCTGAAGCTATATAATTATTATCAGTTGTATGGCTCCAATTTTGGTGAATTAGAGAGGTTGAGACAACAGTAACTTGTGTTTATGTGGCACCTTCCAACGTAATAAAATATTGCAAAGTACTTCAAAGGAAAATCTTTCAAACAAAATTTGTCACTGAGCCACGTAAGGCAATATTGGGGACAGATGACTTAAAAAATGACCAAAGTGATGAGCTTTAAGAAGCATCTTGCAGAACAATAGAGAGGCATAGAATAATTAAGTCTACTTAGCTTTGCAAACACTTATTACCACACCCCATCTTGGATACACCAATTAATGTTGCATTTTTGGCAGCTGGGTAAGAGTCAGTGTGTTTAACAGCTACTATATATGTTGGTGACGCATCTAATTAAAATAAACCCAGAAGAGCTTGGTAAATTTTATCGGGAAAATTTGGTATAATATTGACTTTGGCCATTGTATTGAAGGGATAGAAGATGTTAAATCAGCTTCCTGTTATTCATCCCATCCAGATTTCATTTCTAAAGCACCTGATTCAAAATTGTCTAGTAACAAAATTTATTCTATTTCTATTTTTTAAGATTTTGGTCTGAAAAGTGTATTACATATTTTTTCCTAGGACTGTCTATTGGGCACCTTTTGGTACTTGCAAATGTGAGAAAACTACTGACCAACTTTTTCTCCTTTGATCATTTTGTACAATTTCAATGGACCCAAGCATAGGGCCATCCTCTGTTCAGCTGAAAACAAGTCAAACAGTGACTGTCTTTCAGACTCAGTCTCAGACTCAGAATCACAGTGGAATAATGGTTGGTTTCATCATGGAAGCTTTAAGTTGTCTCTATATCTTTGGTCTGTGACCTCTTTCTCCCTTGACATTGGGAGGGATCAGGAAGGGGACAATCCTTAACATCCATTTATATGTGGATCTTTGTCCTGGGTCATCCAGTAAACAATTTCTAAGAAAAATTAATGGAAGACTGGGAGGTCTCTTTCATACCTTGTTACAGTGCAGACCCTGGACTGGCAACCATTTTTGACATGGACCTAGTTTCATCTTATGTCAATGCCTGTTGTAATAGGTTACTACCTTTTATTCCCTTCCACAGAGCATGAAAGAAGACCCTAATTGTCTTGGCCTAGTGCCATAAAAAGTAATGAATAGATGCTTCTGTGTGATGTTGATTGAATTGCAGTCTTCTACAATTACAGCCTCAGGCTTGGTTTTTTTTACTGCCATGGTGTGCATGCATTAGAATCATTTGTACCCACTTTATGACGATGAAGAGAATAGCTTAGAAAACATGAATTCTGAAGGTTTTTCTTGCCCAGTTCACAATGTGGCATTGGAGAATGAGAATTGATCTGTGAACCTCTTGTAACTCGAGGAAATTCATGCCAGCTTTCAGGATTGGAGCTCACACCAGTGCAGAGACAAACTTATTCCTCCCTTTCCCTTGATACTAGCAAGGCAATTAATAATGTCACTGTAGCTGTCTTAGTCACATTGTGCTTGTTGATACCATCTAGTATTTTCAAAAACCGCTCTGCACTGACGGATTCATGTGCTTTCTGTACAGTTGCATTGGCCATGGAGTGGTAGTCATTTGGCCCATTGCGTCCATGCCAGCTCTCTACAAAGCAATCCAGTCAGTATCCATTCATAAGAACATAAGAAATAGGAAAAGGAGTAGGTCAGGCTGCCCCTCAAGCCTGTCATCAATAAGATCGTGGCTGAAATGCCCAGGCCAGCTCTTGTAGGCCTCAACTGTCTGAGATTTCAAAAATCCATCTGCCTCTTCTTTTAAGTACTTACAGTAATTTAGCCTCCTCAACTCTCTGAAATAGACAGTTTCAAACATTCACCACCTTCTCACAGAAGAAATTCCTTTATATCTCATTCTTATTCTTAAACTATGTCCCCAGTTCAAGCCTCCCCCACTAGTGTAAATATCTCTCGACATCTACCCTGTCGAGTCTTTTCAGAGTCTTGTATTTTTCAATAAGATCACCCCTCAGCCTTCTAAACCATAATGGATAAAGGCCTAACTTGTTAAGCAGTTCGTGATAAATCAACCCCTTCATCACAGGAATCAGCATTGTGAATCTTCTTTGAATTGCCTTCGCAACTATGGGGACCAACGCTATCCAAAGTACTCCAGGTGCAGCCTCACCAACACCCTGTACAGCTGTAGCAAGACTTCCCTATTTTTGAACTCCAACCCCCTAGCAATAAAGGCCAAAATTCTATTTATTGTCTTAATTACTTGCTGTTTGCATGCTCATATTTTGTGTTTCATGCACGAAAATACCCAGATCACTTGAAATGGAATTGCTCTTCATTTAAGTAATAGTTTGCCTTTTCATTCCTCCTTTCAAAGTGTGAAACAAGTGCACTTTCCAACATTAACTTCTTTTTGCCATGTTTTTTGCTCACTCACTCAGGGTGTCCTCTTCATAGCATGCCTTCCCACTTTTCTATCAAATGCAAAATTGGGTTCATTTGGGTTCATTACATTCTGCCCCCCCCCCCCGCAATCAAGTCATTAATGTACATTGTAAATAATTGAGCCTGTAGGAAAGATCCTTGTGGCACTGCACTAGTTACATCTTTCCAATATGATAAAAGGGCCATTAATGCCTTCTCTCTGTCTTCTGTGTGTTAACTGATCGAATTTGTGCTCCTACATTACACTTAATGCTGTAAGCTCTTATCTTCTGCAATGACCTTGTATGTGGCACCTTATTTAATGCCTTTTGAAAATCCAAATGCATTACATCTACTGGTTCCCATTTATCAACTCTACTTGTTACATCCTCAAAGAATTTTAGCAGATGTCTCGAGCATCATTCTCCATTCAAAAATCATATTGATTCTGTTTGATTCTGTTAAGCTTTTCTAAATGTCTTTCTTTTTCCTAATGACAGATGTTGGGCTAAGTAACATTTAGATTTCTGCTTTCTGTCTTCATCCATTCTTGAACAGGGGCATCAATCCATTGAGTTCTGGAACATTTTAACCAATGCCTCCAGTATCTCTGCAGCCACTTCCTTTAAAATCCTTCAGATGCAGGCCATTATGTCCCTTTAGTTTGTCAAATATTTTGACCCTCTAGATGGAGATATCACAAGACTTTCCTCCATTTCTTTTCTTATCTGATCTTCATAGTGTCTTCCACTCCGAGGACCAATCCAAACTATTGGCTTAAATGATCTGCCATTTCCCTGTTCTCCATTATCAATTCCCCAGTTGCATCCTTCAAGAGTCCCTCACTGTAGTTACTTTATTTCCCTATACCAGTAGAAGCGCTTGCCGTTTGCTTTTATATTTTGTATCAATGTATCTTCGTAATCAATTTCCTCTCTCTATTAGCTTTTTAATCATCCACTGCTGGTTTCTTTTTAAAAAAAATACCCAATCCTGTGGCCTACCACTAGTTTTTGCTACCTTGTATGCCTTAATTTTTGTTTGCATTCTCTGTTTGACCATCTTTGTTAACCACAAGCGGGTCGTGCTTCTCTTTGAGACCTTCTATTTGAATGAAATATATTTTTACTGTGTTATGAAATCTCTGCTTAAACATCTGCCATTACTCTTCTGCCAACCTTCCTCTTAGTCAGTTTTCCCAGCCCGCTCTGTAATTGCCTTTATTTCAGTTGAGGACCCTGGTTTGAGACCTGGATTGCTCTCCTTCAAATTTGAAATTCTATCATGTTGTGATCGCTACCCCCAGAGGTTCCTTAACAATGGGATTTCTTATGCTACTTCATTTAAACTTTATTAGATCTAAAATATCCTGTTCCTGGGTAGATTCTGTAACACGCTGCTCATAGAAACAATAACTCATTCACTGAACGGATTTGTCTTCTAATTTACCCTTCCCATCTAATTTGTCCAGTCAATAAGCAGATTAAAATCACCCATGATTATTGTAATGCTGTTCTTGTGCAGCTCAATTACATTCTGCTTTACACTTTGCCCTACAGTGATACAATTCTTCAGGGGCCTGTAGAAGACTCCTACCCATGACTTCTTTCCCTTGCTATTCCTTATTTTCACCCAAACTGATGCCACATCATCGATATCTATCTATGCCACTACGTAGCTCCGCAATGACACTTTTCTTTATTAATAAAGTTACCCCATCTCCTTTTCCTTTTCGACCAGTGTTCTGAAATATCAGTGTACATGAACGTTGAGTTGTCAGGCTTGGTCACCCTGCTACCACATCCTCATGCTTTAGCTTGTAGCCCTGTGTTTGTCTAAATTCATTTTGAAATCATTGACTGTCTCAGCTACACCCTTCCTTTTAGACATAGAGTTCCATGTCATTACTATTTGTTGCATTTAAGAAGTTTTTCCTTGTATCCCCCTGCATTTCTTGCCCAAAACCTAAAATCTAGGTGTCCCCCCCCCACTCCTTGTTAGACCAACTAATGAGTACAGGTTTTCTCTGTGTGTCTCAGCTGAACCTGTCATCACCTTTTATTAAATTACCCCTCAATCTTCTTTTGTTCAAGGAAAATAGCCCCAGCTTCTCCTCAACATTTTTGTAGCTGAATTCTCTCCATGGAAATGTTGTGGTAAATCTCCTCAGAGTCCTCTAAAGGTGTTAAAAGCCTGTGAGTCTGTGCCTAATCTTTACATGTGAGTTGAGGCATTGATTGTGGGAGGGCAGTTTGACTGAATCTATTCCTGTGACTGTCCACAAAATGAACAGACTCTCTGGATCACAATCCGACTACTTTCTGGCCCTGGGGCTGTGGCTTAGAAATATGGAGGCCATCTGAAGAACAGCCAACTTCAATCAGCCCATCTAATTTACATGTTGAACAGCACAAATCAGGATGCAAATCTGGGATCTCACTGCTTTATTTGGTTTTGTACCTCATTATATGTTAAATTTCTGTCTGATCATTCAGGAGACCCAATCATAATCAACACGCACACAAAAACAGAAATTGCTGGAAAAACTCAGCAGGTCTGGCAGCGTCTATGGAGAGAAATCAGAGTTGATGTTAGGGTTCCAGTGACCCTCAGAACCCAATCATAATGTTGAGTCATGTTTGCCAAAGAACTGAACTGGTGTTAATTCATTGGTATAGAGCAGCTACCATCTGTGTAACCTGCCTTATTACGTTAGATTTAGTGGCACTATCAATTCGGCTTCTGCACTGAAGGTGAAACATGACTGTGAATTGAGTGAGCAGCTCTAAGTGTACCACCTGTGCATTTTCAAATTTTACAGCTCTGTACCTTGATTTTCGCATCATCTTTATATTATATGTTTGCACTTATGTGGAAAGCACAGTAAAGCAAGGGGTTGTTAGAAACCAGTCTGGAGTGGCCACAGAGTCTACCTTTTGATCTGATGTGGTTCATTCAAAACAATAGTGCAACTACCAAGTATAATCTTAACTCATACCTCTGGCACCTGTGTCACATCCTTCAGCTATAAAGGAATTGACAATGGTGAAAGGTGGAATCTGTGGCAGTGCTATATATTCCTTGTCTAATTCTTCAAGGAGCCAGGAGTGTTAGGCATTTTTTCCGCCTTCCCCAACCTCTACTTAAATATAACAACAAAACGCTACTTTGTGTTCAGCACTGCAGGAAGAGATCCTGCAAACTGGTGTCAACACGAAGAATTTATAAATAGTAATTTTTATAATAATTGTTCTGGTCTGGGAGGGAACAGGGATCTTCCACTGTTGACAACAGGGAATTATCCAAGATGGTCAGTCCAGTATTAGACCTTTTACGTTGCAATAACTGTTGTGAGACAGTTTAATGTAAGGAGTGCGAGTGTCTAATGTATAGAGGTTCCTTTGGGTGCTGGTATTACTCTGTGTGCTTACGTGGAGTATGCCTGCTTTCAGCAAGCATGGAAGATCCATGGTAGGTTACTATTAATTCTCCACATCACCTATAAAAACCACCACAGCAGAAACATTTAATCAGATTTGGTAGCTTAAGTGCAAAAACAATGTTGTCTCTTCAAAATTATGCAATCAAATAAATTAATTGATCTTTCCTTTATTGCAGTATCAGTCATTACGTCATTGTGATGTCGATGACCATTTTTCTCATGTTTCTAAGTCGCTTGGCTAAGACCCTGACTACCCAGAGAATTGGACTTCACGAGAAAATTAAGCAGCATTTTATGTAATTATTGAGTAAAGTGATGATTAAAATGGATTTGCAATGGCCAACTGCGTTTTGGTTTAGATTAAGACAGTGGCATAGACCGTGACTGATCACACAAGCCTTCCGTCCTGTCCTCATTGTGTACCAGATGGTGTTATCAATTGGTTACACAGTTATCCTAGAAACAGAAAGTGACCAGAGATTTGTAATATTTTTATTACCAGTCTGATGCAAACCACATTAATGTGCAGTCAGCTTGAACATGCCATTGTAACATCTGAAATCAATGTTAATAACTAGATAATTGCAATTTTACTGAAGACCATCTTTAATGTAGCTTTGGAAGATTTGAAACTGAAGTAAGAAAGTCTATTCAGCATTTACTAAATTTACAGTAAATGAAAAGCATTTGCGTTTACCAGAGCATTGTTGTATCATTTGCAACCGGACTAAGTCTCCTCCAGAGATAGTACGAACTGCCGATGCTGGAGAATTTGAGATAACACGGTGTAGAGCTGGATGAACACAGCAGGCCAAGCAGCATCAGAGGAGCAGGAAAGCTGATGTTTCGGGTCGAGACCCTTCTTCAGAAATGGGTTTTCTGAATATTTCTGAAGTGTCTAGACCCGAAACGTCAGCCTTCCTGCTCCTCTGATGCTGCTTGGCCTGCTGTGTTCATCCAGCTCTACACCGTGTTATCTAAGTCTCCTCCAGTTTTGAATGTGTGTTTGGCTGCATATTGCAGTGAGGAAGTTGATGATCAAAGGCAAAAGTTGCCATTGTAATTGAGGATGGAGGGAGCAAAAGTGTGGATGATTTGCCAGAAAAAAATGTGGAAATCTCGAAACCAAACTCCAAATTTAAAGGATATAAAGCTGAAAGGGGAGAGGTATTGAAGAGGTTACTGTGGTGGAATGCAAAACCCAACTTTTTTTTAATGATTAAGCCTTTTTGAAAGGTTCTTCTTTTTGTACATACTTTAATTTGACACATTGGAATTTATGCTCCTCACTGTTCTTTCTTCAAACATGCTGTATCAGGTGAATTTCAGGGGTGTGGCAGAATGAGTTGTACCACAACGTTTACATGTCTGGCGTCTCGTTTTAATTAAATGGGATTAATGTTGATGCCATGTTAAAACATAACTAGTTTGCCGTTAAGTGCATGCATTAACCAGGCAAACGCGGCTTTTGGGACTTAGGATCAGTTGTAATAGAGTGACCAAATGTAGCCGTCACTGAAACATTGCGTTTTGAATCCATGTAATTATCTATGTAATGAAACTATCCAGTATGCCTTAAGTTTATAATAGTCATGGTTTGAATGTGCTGTGCACAATTTGAATACCTATGGATTCATTATTCAATGTGTGTGACCCATATTTTTATGTTTTGTTTCCGTGTTTATCATGGCTTGGTTAATAAAATATAAAGAATGGGAAATTGTGATTTGGCCTATGGAATTTCACCTTCTGAGTACATTAATTCTCTATTAAGTATCTAGTTATATTTTAAATGGTCCTGATAATAACTCTCTTGACTTTCCTAATAGATCATTTCAATAATTTATCACTTTTCAAATAAAGGAATATTTTCCTGATACCTGTTGTAAATTAAGTAAATTTCAACACTCTGACTTTATTGGCCCTGTATATTTTAGATCATTATCTGGACTATCCTTTATCTATGTAACTTCAAATTTTATAAACTAAACAATTCTGGAGTATAAACTTATTTAATCTTCCCGTTTTAGCTCATCCCCTTTTCACTGGGGGTCAAATTTTGATTTTTTTTAACTAAAAATTGGGAATATTCAGCTTCCATGGACTAAGACACATTGTGAACCTTTGTAAAACTTGATGAAAGATCATTAACCTGATACCTAAACACATTTTATCTCTCAGCTTATAACTGCCAGTTTGCCAGCTACATATTGGAACTAACCCCGAAACTCTATTGTCTTAGCTAGTTATTCTCACACTTGTGTTTTCTTTGACAAGTTGGTTTCGCACATTGTCACTGGAATGCTGGATTCATTCCCCATAGATACAATGACAGCCAGCTATAACTATTTCCCTCCAGGGTAGAGGTGGCGTTTTGAAAATAAACTGAACAGCTGCACTCACTGCTGTCAGCATCAGCAAGCACACAGCTGTAAGCATCACAAAACATTGCGAGGCGTCAGCATAACAAGATATAACTCGACGGCGATTTATTAGCCTGACCTACTAAAAGAAACCTACAATCCACAACAGGCTTCCTCAACCATCACTGACTATATTGAAAAAGAATCGGACAAACCTTCCCACCAAGGTAAATTTCTAACAACACTAATATACACTCACTTCATTGCAGCATCCTCATTGATTCCAAACATATAGAGATCATTGGGTAAATAATGATAATCCTCAGGTGTGCTTAAGGTGTCTGTTCTGTCGGACCAAAATGTGTGCATTTTCATAGAATCCCTACAGTGTGGAAACGGGCCCGTTGGCCCAACAAGTCCACACTGACCCTCCAAGCATCCCACCCAGACGCATTCCCCAAACCCACCCAACCTGCACATCCCTGAACACTACGGGCAATTTAGCATGGCCAATCCACCTAGTCTGCACATCTTTGGACTGTGGGAGGAAACCGGAGCACCCGGAGGAAACCCACACAGATACAGGGAGAATATGCAAACTCCACACGGATAGTTGCCCAAGGGGGAAATCGAACTCTGGGCCCCTGGTGCTGTGAGGTAGCAGTGCTAACCACTGTGCTGCCCCTTGTTGAACTGTGCTATTTGGGATGTACTCCAGAATGAGTTAGCACTTTCCACCCGTGTTTTACGGCTTTCATTGTAGCCTAGACTGGGTGAATCTGCTCTGTCTATTAGTCCTGTCTGGAATAGGTCTGGACAGCATTAATGCAGCTTTAAATGTAAATAGCCCCCCAGCAAAAAAGTGCCTGTTATTTTTTGGAGATGTGGTGTACTCACTATGGAACTGGACCAGAAACCCAAAGAGGTTTTGTATTTATTCATACAATGGCACGTTGTGAATTTGGATTCATCAAATATGGTAATGTTACGGTGGAAAATTAGGGTAAATTGAGTGCAGAACTGAAACATCTCAACTACATGGTCAGTCTGACAAAGAATGTGTAACTGTTGATTGCTTTTAGGTACATTTTTAGCGAGTTCAAATTGTTAACAGAACAGACCAACATAAAATCATTCAAAAATTATGATACATTTTATGATATACTTGTTGACCATTTGTGTCATTGCTCATAAATAGTGTGGAGCAGCTGTTAAACTGGCTCAGTACTTTCAAAATAAAGTTTAAAATATTTCTAGAGGCTATGTTTGTTCAATTGCTTTTTGCCAGGTATATGGAAATTCTAATCTTCAGAACTGGGGCAAGTACACACTGCTTTTAGGAGATAGGCAACATAAAGAAAACTGTTCCACAGTAAAAACCAAAAGAACTGCAGATGCTGTAAATCAGGAACAAAAACAAAGTTGTTGGAAAAGCTCAGCAGGTCTGGCATTATCTGTGAAGGAGAAAACAGAGTTAACGTTTTGGGTCCAGTGACCTTTCCTCAGTGTTTAGTTGAGATGTGGAACACACTATTATAATACCAGAAAAGTCCATTCCGAGAGTGAAACCTGGCTTGATAGATTATAAGGATTTTTTTTGTTTGACCACCATAGTAACCAAATTGCAATCACTGAATATGTGCACATGATACTCGGGTGAGTTAGCATTTTCCACTCCTGCTTTTCAGCTATAATCGTAGCCTAGACTGGTGAATCTGTTCTGTCTGCTGGCCTTATCTGGAATAGATCATGTGCTAATGTATTTTTAACAAAAGAATATCAAATTTGATTAAACACAAAAATATTTTTAAAGGTGACGATATAAGATAATTTAGAAAATCTTAGCAAAAATACCAAAAAGAAAATTGTTTCCAGCAACATCCTTTACAGACAATCAACCTCAGGGAAGTATCATCACTTTAGGATTTCTTACACGCTGACTTGTTGCACAATCACCGGATGCAATTTTCTCTGTCTTTGTCTGAGACACATGAATGCAGACTTACTCTCAGACTCTTTCTAGGCCTTTTCCTTAGTCTGCTGAAGCACCTTAGGACTTCTTTCCAGCTCTGATAGCATGGAATTTATTTCTAAATCTCTCAGAATGGAGACTTGTAGAGAAACCAAAGAAAACTGACCTTCTATTGGTGTAACTTTTCTGCGGAACTCAACGTGCTAGTAGCCCCTGACGCTCTATACCTGTAGATCATAAAAAGGAATGTTGTAAGCATTCAGCAATTAACCTCCCAGGCAGGCGATTGAGATATTTAGTCAGGTGTTTTCTTGGAAAGCTGTCCTTAATTCCCTGTTCCAAATGATATTCTGACAGATCTGTATAAAGGTCACCTTCAGATAAGATGGATGTTGAACAGATGTTCCTCCTAATGAGGTAGCCTAGAACAACATGGTATAGATATGGAGTGAGAAGGGGTAGGTTCAAAACTGAAAATTGAAGGGACTGCAGATGTTGGAAATCAGGAACAAAAACAAACAGAAATTGCTGGGAAAAACTCTGGTAGGTGTGGTAGCATCTGTGGAGAGAAAGCAGAGTTAACATTTTAGGTCCAGTGACCCTTTTTCAGGTTCAAAACTGAGATGAGGAGAAACTACATCTCAGAGGGTTGTGAATCTGTGGAACTCACTGTTCACTGGAGGCAGAATCAATCAACTGATTCAAGAAAGAGATAGATATGTTTCCGATGAGAAGCGGGATAAAGGGCTGTAGGGAGCAGGCAGGCAAGTGGAGTTGAGCCCAGGATAAGATCAGTCATGATCGTGTTAAATTGCCTACTAGTTCCTATGTTCACAGAACTGAAAGTTAATTTCCATTTTTCATCCACTTTTGAATCCAAATTCCTTTGTGTTAATAATATAAATTTTCACAACAGTCTGAGAGAGACTTGTAAAAGGGCATTGAGTAACCACTTAGCGAGAAAAGATTTGCAGGGCTTTGGGATAAAGGGAAGGGAATGGTAC